AGTCTAATTTAACTTTTTTTTAAAAAACTAATTTAAATCATGTTATGTCTAATTCAACTTGTTTTAAGTCTAATTTAATTAGGACTTAACATGAAATTAGACTTAAAAAAGTTGAATTAGACTTAACATGATTTAAATTAGACTTAAAAAAAATTTAGCATGATTAAAATTAGACTTAAAATAAGTTAAAATAGACTTAACACAATACATGTTAAGTCTAATTTAACTTATTTTTAGACTTAAAATAAATTGAATTAGACATAACATGATATAAATTAGAGTTAAAAGGGATTAAATTAGACTTAACATGAACCGAATTAGACTTAACATGAACCAAATTGGACTTAACATGAATCAACTTAGACTTAATATGAAATTAGACTTAAAACAAGTTGAATTAGACTTAACATGATTCATGTTAAGTCTAATTCAAATTGTCTTTTGACTTGAAACAAGATGAATTAAACATAACATTATTTAAATTAGACTTAAAAGAAATTAAATTAGACTTAACATGAACTAAATTAGATTTAACATAAAATTAGACTTAAAACAAGTTAAATTATACTTAACATGAAATTGGACTTAATATAAACCGAATTGAACTTAACATAAACTGAATTGGACTTAACATGAACCGAATTGGACTTAATATGATTTAAATTGGACTTAACATGAACCAAATTGGACTTAACATAAACCGAATTAGACTACATATAATCCATGTTATGTCTATTTCATTTTATTTTAAGTCTAATTTCATGTTAAGTTCAATTTAAATTAGACTTAAAATAATTTAAATTAGACTTAAAATGATTTAAATTAGACTTAAAATAATTTAAATTAGACTTAAAAATAATTTAAACTAGACTTAACACGAATCAAACTGGACTTAACACTAAATTGGAATAAAATTAGACTTAAAATAAATTCAATTAGATTTAACATGAATCAAATTGGCCTTAACATGAAGTAAAATTAGACTTAACATGAAATTAGACTTAAAATAAGTTAAAATAGACTTAACATGATTCATGACTTAACATGATTCATGTTAAGTCTAATTCAACTTATTTTTATACTAAAAATAAGTTGAATTAGACATGACATGATTTAAAAGGAATTAAATTAGACTTAACATGAATCAAACTGGACTTAATATGAATCAAATTGGACTTAACATAAAACTAGACTTAAAACGTGTTAAATTAGACTTAACATGATTCATGTTAACTCTAATTCAACTTATTTTTAGACCTAAAACAAGTTGAATTAGACTTAACATGATTTAAATTAGACTTAAAAGGAATTAGATTAGACTTAACATGAATCAAACTGGACCTAACATGATAGATCTGGAGAGAACAAAGAGGGAGGAGGAAATGAGGGTATTTTGGACTTTTATGTTTGTTTTTCTCTCTCTTTGTACTTAGTTGGCATGATAATTATATGAAAAAGAGCTGCAGCACATCATGTGACATTTCTTGAGGCTGAACCACATGAGAAAAAAGTGGAGGGGCTGCAGCACATGAAGGTTTTACTTTTGGGGCCTTGACACAATTTTCCTAACTTTTTAGCATTAAATAAAAGGTGATGTTTTGGGGCTGTTTGGTTCACTTTTTAACCCCGTGGAAAACTTTTACATCGCCTCCACGTTGGTTTTTTCGGGGCCACGTTGGTTTTTTCATTTCCGTCAGTTTATTTTCCAAGCTTTGTTTCACTAGGGCTGAAGAGGGAAAACGAGATAAAAATCGCCGCCACCTAGGTTTTTTTTCTCTCCCCCAATTCCTTCCCCAACCGAGTAAAATCGGCGGAAACCCTAGCCACGTCGAATTTTGGTCTTCCTCATTGATTTCTTCAGTGAGCTATAGTTACCTCCTTGGTCTCCTCCCGCCATAAACACCAACGACCTTCTTTGTGGCTGTATTCGAAGAAATTGGGGGAGGGACGTCTGATCTTTGCCCACGCTATTTAGATCTGATCTTTGCCGACGATGTTGCTTCATAAATCAAGGTAAAATTACTTTTTTTTTAATTTTCGTATTAAAATTTTAATTTACAGCAATTATCTGAGAATTTAGAGGTGATGGGTCTGAACTTTGCCGAGGTGTTCGATCTGAGCTTTGTAATTGCAGGATATTTTTCGAGATTTTAGAGTAACATGAATGTTTAGGAAGATCTGAACTTACTTGAGGAAATTACCTGAGGAATTACGTGAAAAAGGTGTAGAGGAGAAATTTGATCTAATTTTCTCAATCCTCTGTTAACATCACATATTTTATTTTTTGCATATTTTTTTCTAATTTTTGGTTGCACTTGGTTGGTTGGTTGATGTTGTTGGTTGGCTAGTTGTGATCTTGAACGGGCACATGTTATTTCACTTGCAAGTTGGTTGGCACATGTTGTTGGTTGGCTGGTTGTGTTGTTGGCTCGTTGGTTGGTTGGCTGGCTGGTTGTGAGCCTGGTTGTGAGCACATGTTGCCTCTATATGTTGGTCGACTGGTGGTGTTGTTGGCTGGTTGGTCGAAGTTATTGGTTGGCCTGGTTGTGAGCCTGGTTCTGTTTTGTGCAGCCTCCTTTGTGTTCAGGTTTTATAAGGTGTTTATGCTTAGTTTTGTGTTCGTGAGATTTTGTGTTCAGACACTGTTTTTCTGGGTTGTTTGTGTTCAGACACTTGGTTGTTCTATTTGTGTTCATATTTGTTTTGTTTTGTACTTACTACTTGTCAACTGTTTTGTGCACATGTGACCTTAAATTGTGCACATATGACCAGTTTTTGTGCTCAGCCAGGTTGTGTTACTGTTTTGTGCACATGTGACCTTAAATTGTGCACATATGACCAGTTTTTGTGCTCAGCCAGGTTGTGTTCGGCTGGATTTATTGTGCACATATGACCAGTTTTTGTGCTCAGCCAGGTTGTGTTCGGCTGGATTTAATTATTTTGATATTATTTGTGGGTGTTCAATTTAGGCTATGATAATTGTTTATTTTTTTGAGATTAGCAACCTGTAATATCTGTTAATATTGTACTAGATGGCTAATAATGATGATATTGACTAAATTCTGAGCCCTCAGCCATAATTCGCATATACATATGGCTGATTTATTTGATATGATGTCAAGACATATTTTTAAATGATTTTTGGGCACATAAAGTTCATTGACATGCATAATTTAACAGGTTTGATGCGATTTGCTATGTTATATACATATTTATGGCTATTAATGTTGTTTGTATGAATTTTATAGGATTCATAAGATTTTTTAGCTAATTCAGGTACGTATTTCATAAATTTATGAATAATCAGGTTATTACAGGTCTCGTTTTTTTATAGGAAAACAGGTTTCATGTGAATTTTTTCATCTCAAGCAGGTATATTTCAGGTCAAATCAGGTACGTAGTTCATAGCATTTGATTCATAATTTATTTCAGGTTTCGTATGATTTCATTAATACAAACAGAAATTTATAATGAATTCGAGATATTATATTTGTTCTTGTTACATTCACACTTTTATATGATTAAGATTACCTCACATAATGAGCACAAATAAATAAATTTTTGTGGGGTGTAAGCTTACCATGGTGACCATAAACACTTTTTTCCTACGAACTTCATAACCAACCAAACACAAAAAAATGGAAAATGTCAAATCAACAAAAGTTTTCCTTTTTTTCCATGCGAACCAAACACAAGAAAAGTAAATACATTGGTTTCCCACCATTTTTTATGTGCGAACCAAACTAAAATAATCTATTTCTTAGAAAAGTTTAGAAAACTTAAAACTTGTGTTTCTTTACATAGAATTGCATTTCTTTATATCTAGGAAATGAACCAAACAACCCCTTTATACCACAAACTGGAAAGAAAACAACAAAAAAGGAGAAAAACACTTCAGTAAAATTTAGTAGTATGCGGAAAAAGAAAAGAAAATAAAAGACGGTGACAAGTGACTTCTCGTCTTTCTGTATACGAAAAATTAAAATTAACTTGTAGTATACAAATAAATCCAAAATAAAAAGAACAGAAAATCTGATCTGATCGGGTAGCAGTCGTGCAAGCACTGCCCTAGAAGATTGAGGACCATCCTATCGCCCTGGCGTACATGATCCCCTCTCTCCTAGCAGTAAAAACCCCAGGAATCGGCTAGTCTCTGTACTCGGGCGAGAGTATAGAGCTTCTGCTCAGATGAAAACGGTTGCCCAAAATAAAAGTTGAAAATTTGTAGGAAATTTTTGGAGGAAAATAATCGATTTGAAGAACAGAGGAGAGAAGAGAGAACTTGTTTTCGTTGTTGTGTCATTCCCGAACAAGTTAGGGCTCTATTTATAGGGTTGAGAAACCAGAGCCGTTGCTGGATCCAAGCGCATGTTCACCAAATATCGCGCAACCGTTACCTACGTTCTCAAAACCCGCAGTCGTTACGCGCGTTCTCCACATTGCTAATTGTCGAGTCAAAAGAAACGTGTAAAATGAAGGTAAAAATTTTCAAAACATGGCGTGCGTGAGTTAGCCAAAGCCCAAACAAATGAAAGCCCACAACATTCCATTCTTTGGGACCCTCAAAGCCCAAGGAGAGAGGAGAAGCAATTTAAACACTCTACTATTCATTACACTAGGCAATGTGAGACTATTCATTGAAGGCAAAATTGTCTTTTCTCCCACAATATATCCAACACTTTCTACCTCTTCCAATTTACGAGCTATACTAGCCACACACTAGCGCGTGAGGCTCACGCACGTGTGTGGTGTCG